CAGGTGTCTCTTTTAGTTCAGTGTCAAGTCTGTGTCTTGTGAATTGTCTCCTGTTTCCTGTTTTACTTTGAAGGTTCATGTCTGATGTCAGTGTGTTCAGTTTTGCTTCCCCTGTCTCGTCTTGTCAATTACTCCCAGCTGTGTTTCCCACCTGTTTGTAATCTCCCTGTGTTCTTTTGTGTTTGTAAGTCATGTCTACTCGTGTACTAGTTGCTGGTCTGTGTGTGGGTCAACTGTGAACCTACTGCGTATTCTCCGTGTGTTTTCCCTGCCGTCCACCTTCCTATGCCTCTGCTCACCCTCCTTCATGTCCGTGTTCATGTTTGCTGTTTAGTTTTTCCCAGTTCACATTATCTTTAGTTCTGTTTTGCCATTTTTCACCTTGTGCTTTATTTTACAATAAACCACCTTCACATCTCAGCGAGTGTCTGCACTTGGATCCTCATTTATTTTCTCCACACGGCTCATCCCATGTGACAGTGTATGGTTATGATATAGGAGTACCAGGACAGGGAGCCACTGTTAAAAAGTTATGAGCTGTGTTGCTGCAGAGAAAGTTGTTCACTCTGGTGGTTCTTTGAGTTTCTAAAAGTTGAATGGGATGCAGTTTGCCCCTCTGTGGAACCAGGTCCCAGTTTGAATTCAGAACACAGACACTCTTCTTCTAAGATTAGACACAAAACTTTCTTCTTTAATAAATATTTATTTATAGTTACAGATCAATCAGCTGTCCGGGACCCATCCTTACAGGCTACAACTGCTGGTTAACCTGCCATCACGCACTGAGCACTTCTTGTCTTTCCCTCTGAGTGAGTTAAAATATCACAACTGCATCTCAGTAACATTTTTCTGTGCTCTCCCATCAGGTGTCAGGTTTCTTCCTGTTCAAAGGGAGTTTTTCCTCCTCACTGTCCCCAAGTGTTTGGTCAGAGAGGATTGTTTGATCTATTACTGTAGGGTTTTTACTTTATAATATAAGACGATTGTTATTGGTGCTATGTAAATCAAATGGACTAAAATTCAACTTGAATGTGACTCCTAATCAAACCTAAAGTCATCCCAACCCATGTGAACATTCAGCAGCTTCTTCCTGAGGTCCTCCTCAGCTCCAAACCCACCAGTGGAGGCGCTGTTTAACAACCAGCAGCTGTTATACTTAGTTTATAATTTAATCATTTCATTATATGAAAATAAACTGTTTGAAAATAAGCATTTTAAAAAAGATTGTTTCATTGTATGGTTTATTCTTTATGTATGTAAGTTCTTAAACTGCATACATGTATATATGAATAACTCACTCATGTGCTGACATGTTAGCGT